CCGTGTCCGTACCCGTGTCCGACCCGTACACGAGTTCGTATTCACGATGCACGTATAGTAACGTAATGCACGTAATGAAGGGACCACCCCTTCCGTGAACAACCTGTTCGTGATTGCACGGGATCAGCGAACGTCGTGATTCAGAACCGCATTTCTCACCTAGGCGTAGCCGGGGAACGCGACCGCTGAACCAAAGTTAACACACGTCGTCGTTCAACTCGGTTAAACTCCACACCTACCGTTAATCGCGAGACTCACGCCGTTGGCTGCCCACGATCCTCTCTGGTTCCTCGCGAATTGGACATGATTAAATAATCGTTCTAATTACCGAGGAAGAGAAGTAACTCGCGCATCGTCTCATCGCGCTTTATCCCTGAGTACGAGACGATTCCCGTCGCCTTTGATGCGAACAACTTCTTCCTTAATTAACAATTGTATTAACACGTATTCGCACGTAAGACACGCATACACACCTGTGCTTTTCTCTGTCGAGGAAACAAACATACAAGAGTTCACCTATGCCAAACTACATGATAATAATGCGGGGGAAGAAATATGCGAAACGGCGAACGGGAAAACGTACTCCCCACCACGACGACATATTTGTTGTGAGATACTACTGCGATACATACACGTACACATTCACGGTGTCTGACACCGACCGTAAGTACACCTCTTGGTTCGGCCGCGTGATCGGTTTTGCGCGCTGTCATTCGTTGAAAGACCTTTCCTTCTTTCTTTATCCTTGTCGATACTGCAATGCATGTAACGACGATCCCTCTTGAACATCGTGCATCAACGATCATACGGTTTTCGTTACGTGGTGGGGAGAAACATGTACATAAGAATATGCCATGGACCATGGACTTAGGAGTATCGGGATGGATTGTTAGCTTAGTTTTTGACGAGGGGATTGACCGCTGTTTGAGGGGGGCCGACCTCTAGAATTCGCGCCTGGATTTTATTGGATGCTGTTCCACGCATGCCCTGTACCGCTAATTATGAAAAACTATGAATCGAAATACGTAATACTTATATAAAGTATGGAAGGTATACATTTTTATTCTGATAAATAAATCAATTTGTTTAAACTATTTTATTTTCGAGTGATATTTCATGAATATTTTTGTGAAATATAAAACAATTTTTATTAAACTTATCTTTAATATAAAGTTTATTGTTTTAAACTTATATTTATTAACATAACATTTTCTATAACAAATGCTTTTTAATTTGTGTACTTATAACTTTACCAATATCTAAGTAACAAAATTATACTGTTGTTATATCTAATTATCATATTAAACAGAATAATCTTCCAAAGCGTTCGATTTTACATTCTGTCTTTCAATCAGTGAAACAAATTACGAAATGAAACAAGTTCGTACCTAATAACTACTTATATAGGAATTATGCTGTATTTAGAATTCATTATCGAATATAATACTAATTGCTCGTATCGTTTTTCGGAATCTCAAGTATGCCATTGTATTGCAAGGTTTAACCAGTTTATGATCTGTAATCTATATTGAGATGTCATTTGACAAATCGATATGTATCTGCTAATAATGAGCAATCCACAAGTTCACGGATTTTATAATTAAATAGTGCAAGGTTTTAATATTAAAATATAACAACCATAAATCCATATAATAAAGTTCTATTACATGTAAAATATACATAACTCGTTGAAAATATAAAATAATGTTTGAAATAATAGATGTAATTTCCATTGTACTAACAATAAAATTTTACCGTTTGCACTTAATAACACAATATTTTTATGTTATCCGATAAAATTAAAAGAAAACAATTTAGGAAAGTCGTAGAAAAATAAAATTTTTAAATATTTCATTTTTTGACTAAAAAAGCGAATACCACTATAACTTAAATAACATTATTAATTTGTAGTTCAAATTTGTTTACAATTAGCGGTAGCTAATATGCGTTAAGCATCATCCAATAAAAGTCGTGCGTCAAATGTCAATCACTGGTCTTCTTCAAGGAGCAATCATTTCGCAAATCCTACTCTCCATCCTTATATTCCTGCATCTATGGGGGAAACCAATTCCCTATTTTTTATTTTTCTTTCTCTTATTTTCGTTATATGTGTTTACATGAATATTAGCCAATCCGAGTAGCCTGATTTTGAGAACACCACAACTTGTTTCGTATTAGTTTCTGAACTTACTGTTTACACAGATGACGCTGCTGTATTTACTAGGTACAGTGATTTGTTAAACGAAAGAGGTTATTAAAATATTTACAATCTTATACAATTTTGTTGTAAAGTGATCATGTCGTTAGCGGATGAACTTTTGGCGGATCTTGAAGAGAATGATGACTCTGACCGTGTTATGGAAGAACCAGAGCCGGACTTTATTCCGACTTCAGTTTCCAAAACTATTGAAGAAGGTAATTAACCTCAATTTTAGTTAATGTAAACAACATTGAGAATCTCTTTCATCAACTTCTTACATTGATTGCAGAAATAAAAGTTGCTTCTGTAAGAGAATTAGCAAAATTACGTGACTCAGAACAGTTACAAAAAGTAATGTCTCACATTGAAAAATACAGTAAAATTCCTAGAAAGTCAGTGGATATTATTGGACCCGTTGAGTCCGATCCAGAATATCAGCTTATTGTTGAAGCTAATAATATGGCTGTGGATATTGATGATGAAATAGGTATATATTGATATTATGTACTTTATTGTATTTGTGATTTTATAACAAATGCATAGGTAACGTTAAAATACATAAGCTATAGCCAACATGTGAACAAAATTTGTTGAATAATATCACCAAACATTCTTTGTATAATAGAAATTATATTTTTTAGCGACAATACATCGATTTACAAGAGACAAGTATTCTAAAAGATTTCCAGAATTAGAGTCATTAGTTGTTGGTCCTTTGGAATATGTAATGACAGTTAGAGAATTAGGAAATGATTTAGACAGAGCAAAGAATAATGAAACCTTACAACAATTTCTTACTCAAGCGACAATCATGGTAGTTTCAGTTACCGCATCAACGACACAGGGGTAACATATTATCTAATGGATTAAGAATTTATGAATAATATATGTATATAATGTTTACTATTAAAAACAAACAAATATGTTATGCTTGTAGACAACTACTAACAGAAGAAGAAAAGGAAGCTATTTGCGAAGCTTGTGACATGGCGGTAGAATTAAATAACTGCAAACTGAAGATATTTGAATATGTAGAGAGTAGAATGGCATTCATTGCACCAAATTTGTCTGTGATAGTGGGTGCATCTACAGCTGCAAAAATTATGGGTAAATTTTAAAATACTGTCTTTCTTTTGAAAGTAAACTTTTCAAATTTATTAAATTGGCATAATTATATGTTGCACCTTCATGTTTTAGGTGTTGCTGGAGGTTTAACTAAGTTATCAAAAATGCCAGCCTGTAATATTCTAGTTCTTGGATCGCAAAAAACGACATTATCTGGATTTTCCCAAGTAGCAACTTTACCTCATACGGGGTTTATATATTACTCTGATATTGTACAGGACACTCCGCCTGTAAGTTATTTTATAGTAAAATTTATATGAACAACAATACAAATTTCACATACTGTTCAAGGTATTGTTTGATTTTTATATTTAGTTAATCTTTTTAGGATTTAAGACGAAAAGCAGCAAGACTTGTAGCAGCTAAAAGTATGTTAGCCGCTCGTGTTGACGCATGTCATGAAAGTACAGATGGTCATATTGGTCAAATGTTTCGTGAAGAAATTGAGAAAAAATTAGATAAACTCCAAGAACCTCCACCTGTAAAATTTGTAAAGCCTTTACCAAAACCTATTGATCCAGGTCGAAAGAAGCGCGGTGGTAAACGTGTTAGAAAAATGAAAGAACGTTACGCCATAACTGAATTCAGGAAACACGCAAATAGAATGAATTTCGCAGATGTAAGTTTTACTTTCTTATATTTGTAACATTATGTAACATTATAATATTTCTGATTGATATGTATATTTTTAGATAGAAAATGATGCTTATCAAGAAGATCTTGGTTACACACGTGGTACAATTGGTAAAGCAGGAACCGGTCGAATCAGGTTGCCCCAAATTGATGAAAAAACTAAAGTGCGGATATCAAAAACATTGCAGAAGAATTTACAGAAACAGCAGCAATGGGGTGGAAGTACAACAGTTAAGAAACAAGTCTCTGGTACAGCATCCAGTGTTGCGTTTACGCCATTGCAGGTAAAATACCAATACATTAATAATATAAGTAGATTGTC